TAAAKTGAGTCYGTTTGGTCTAGCGCCCTCTGAATTCTGTCTTCAGCCAACAATGGTAATATACTGTATGAACCTCCTCATAGTACCACCATGTTGGTTTCAAAGTTTACATTTTATATTAAAAAACTAAAATACAAACAAATGCTGCAGTTGGGAGGATTTATAAATGGTGGGTTTGATCTGTGTGGAGGTGACACGTGATTAAAGTCGCTCTGGCCAATCAATGGMCTGCAGTCTGCTGATGTTAAATCTTCAGCTCTGCTCACTTGCAACCCCAGYTGAGTAGGTCCTAAGAACCGATCTGGAAGCAGGTGGGATCACCAAATAGAAAGACACCGACTGAAACTGCATGGAGTTTGCCTGAGTAGAGCCGAGTYGAGCTCATGGAAAAACACCATAATCTGCTTTGCCTTTTTCATGTTAGGTTGAAACTTTGACAAAACTAGTTTGACACTTGTTAGCAGTGGCAGCTATTAGCTAGTCCTGCTTTTCATCCACCTCTTTCTGGGAATTTGCACACAACTTGTGTGTAGCGTGCCTCATGTCATCGCCATTTTCTCTTTAAACTTTATTGAAGCAGAAAACTTGCCGTTCCATCTCGGTCAGCCTTCCTGTTAACGGGTCTCCGCTGTGTGCATGCCATAAAACGTTTAGGAGCTGTACTTCCACAATTTTTGACATTTTTAAATAGATTCAGAATTGTTCATGTACACTGTTTAAAAAATGGATTATTATTGTATAAAATGTTCAAGACATAAGTCAGTGGAATGTCCTCTGAAGTCATTGAAACACACAACTTAGTCACTTTGTAAGTACTTGTATTTGCTACCCTTTTTGGACCGTTTCTAGTATACTAACACATTCTCACTTCCGACTCGTCACATATTGACGCTTTTCCAAGGTTCCCTCTGCRTCTTGTTTTTGACGCGTTGGGTACACCCGTCRCGTCAGTTGYTGACGCACCAGGCATTTCCGGGTTCCCTCGACGTCTGGSTTTGACTCGTTGGGACGCAAAATATAGGGGTCTTTGAGTTGGGGTTTGTGGTTAATATTAGCCATCAGGGTTCATGGTTAATTTTAGATAGTGGGGTCAGGGGTAGGATGTCTACGGTGAATATTAGGTCATTTTAGGCTTTGGAACACGTAGTTGACGTGAATTTCCTACACTTCTAAAAATGGTTAATTTTACGGATCAGGGTTGATGGTTAATTTTAGGTDCTAGGGWCAGGAACAGGATGTCTAGAGTGAATAAAGGTAATTTTAGGCTTTGGGACRGTTAGGTTTTGTGCATTTTCTACACTTKMTGAAATTATGACAACGGATTCYGCCCCATCTCRTCAATAACTGACGCAAGGGGGGTACCCGACGTGTCAAAATCAGACGCAGAGGGAACCTTGGAAAAACGTCAATATGTGATGAACTGGGAGTGAGAATGAGTTGAGTATACACATCTACCTTGTCAAGACCAGTGGTCCTTATGGGGATCAAAGGCCGGTCCTRATATAGTGAAACTCCATTTTTGAGTTTGGGGTCAGGTTTAGGCTATAGAAATGAACGGAAGTCAATGAATGGTCCTAATGAGGATAGAAATACAAACTTGTGTGTGTGTTTTGTGCTTTTAACCATGTCCTCACTTCTTGCACAAGCACGTACACATGCGGTGTGTTCACGCGTATGGATTAACAGGAAGCTGCAACACAAACAGACAGGTTGGGAACATGGTTCAGACATTTCAAACAGTCACGTGACCTTTCCTGTCTGTTCTCATCAGAGGAAGAGGACCAACAATTACTCATGTCGCCTTGAGGCTGGCATCTGCGTGGTGGTACAGACAGTGTATATCTGTGTGTTTGAAGCTGAGATGCTTACATGACTTTCACAGACCGGCTGCCTGACATCTGTCAGAGTATCACTGATGAAGCAAATAACACAGCAAGTGTCTGGTCTCTGTCACCTGCGATGCTACTGTCATCATCAAACACGAACAAAAGATCCAGCAAGTTGATTTATAGCCAGAAYGGTTCACTGCAGCTTCAGTTGTTTTCTTTAGTAGAGAGTTTTTATGCCTCAAACTGAGTGTACAGTAAAAATAAACTTATGTAAGAATGTCAAAGGAACAAAAGGTCATCTCAAAAGTAAAACAAGAACTTTTAAGTTAGACTGCCTCAACAAAATTAGATAATTATATACAGATAAATATGTTTACACCTAACCTGCTAAAAGATTGTGTAATATGCCAATTAAATGAAACAAAGCTAACCTAGAGCATTAAACATAAACTAAAACAAACTGAAAACAGAAAATTTTAGTAACAAAACTATTTATTGTTCTATGTAAGATTATAGGGACTTGAAATTAAATAAAAAATTAAGCAGAAGGACTGAAATCAAATCAAATTAATACAGCACATTTTTTTAAATTGTAGAAAATGCTGCATAYACAACAACAAACAGTAAAAATTAATACTGACCACAAGAGACCATAAAAAAAATCATATCATTGTGAAATGTCTCAGATGGAGAATTTGAAAATAACTTCATGTTAAAGAAAAACATTCAAATCCTACTCATTTTGCAGCACAGATCACGTATTATGAGGCAGGAATAAGAAAAGCATTTACATCAGTTCTGATGACATGTGCATAATCTTATAATAATAATAATAATAATCCTTCATATTTAATCTAATAGAGCAGGAATATTCAACTAAATTTCTCAGGGGTCGGACATCGTGGGGTGGTCACTGCYCGATAATGGAAGGGGAGAGGCTGCATTAAGTATTATTAGCTTTACCTTTTTAAAAGTGCCTATTTTGTTGTGTTGAGTCATAAATTAATTTTTTAATTAATTTAAAGTCTATTTTTATATGAACTTAAATTAAAATAATTTGGGGAGGGGTCATTTGCAGGCCAAATGGAAGTTAACTCCTAATTGAATAGCCCTGTCAGAAAGTCGTTKTTCCCAGCATTGATGTTTTCTTGTAGCTGTTTTTCACATTTAGTTTAGCTCCTGTCTGACTCCATGTGCTGTCGGTCATTAGCTCCACCGTGACCTGGTCCAGTCAGGATGTGAAAACGTCACCGCCGTCCACCGCTTCACTCTCGCTGGTATGCAGAGGGCCAGGGCAGGGCTCTGCCTCCGACACAATTAGAAACTCTCATACAAACGCAGGAATTCCTGCAAGGTTCTTTTCACTTTGTTGCTCTCGACTGGGAGGACTTTTAGAAAGAAGTGGACTCCTACACACCCCTCAGATTCTTTTCCTRACCCTGGCTCCCACCACAGAAGCTCTGTTTTTGTTTGGCTCTTTGGTCTTTCTTTATTGTTGATATTTGCAACTGTTTATGGTTTACGACTCTAACTGCAGAAGATTGTCAGTTCTGTTGAATCATTGCATTGATTTATTTCCAACAGCATCACCCTGGTTCTCTGTTTTTTAAAAATTATTATAATATTCAGCCTGTAATAAATTTAAACATAGMCTAATAGCAGCAACAAAAACCTCCACTGTGATCCATAAATGAACATCTTATTCTCACTGTTTT